TGAGTTTCATTACCTGGGTCTGGATCTTGATGAGGCGCACCGTTCATAAGCTGCTCCAGCCAAATCGGTGGGGCAGGAGGGCGCTACCCAAGGGGAGGCAGGGTAAAGGAACAGTTGCTAATGAACTGGCCCCTTTTTTGCATAAACAAGAAAGTCTGAGCTCAAGAGACAATTCCTACTCAGCAAAAAATGCAGTGGTGCTTTTAAAATCTATCAAAACAGAAAGGGGGCATCCCTGATTTATGTGCTGCCATGATGATATATGCCTCAGCACAGCGCCTCCTGTAAAACCTCTTTGGGACCATTCAGAAAAAAGTTTAAAAGATCTGATCAGTCCTATTTGGGCCACCCCCATTTCACCATTCCCCTCTGCAAGAATCTTCTGCCTTGTTTTACATGAGGGGTGGGTGAACTTAGCAGAAGTTAGGCATCCTTCAGTCTCAAGAGACTATGGTATTGTGCTCTCCATGGAGGACTTGGAACAGCGTCTAGTGTGGCTGAGAAGGCCAATTCGAGAGTGACCGTCCCTTCCACACTGAAGACAAATACAATCTCTACCACGTCCAGCTCCCTGATTTTGCTGGTTTCGGGAATACCTCTTTGCCTCCGCCTGCTGGACAAGTATCTCTTCAAAATGGGAGAGGCCGTGATGCACTGCCTGCCTCCAGGCTGAACGATCAGATGTCAGAGTTTCCCATCTGTTGAGGTCTATTCCTAAGTCCTTCAGATCCCGCTTGCAGATGTCCTTGTATCGCAGCTGTGGTCTCCCTCTGGGGCGATTTCCCTTCACTAATTCTCCATAAAGGAGATCTTTTGGAATCCGACCATCAGCCATTCTCACAACATGCCCAAGCCAATGTAGACGTCACTGTTTCAGTAATGTATATATGCTAAAAATTCCAGCTTGTTCCAGAACTACTCTATTTGGAACTTTGTCCTGCCAGGTGATACCAAAAATGCGTCGGAGACAACGCATATGAAATGTGATTAACGTCCTCTCCTGCCGTGCACAAAGGGTCCAGGACTCACTGCAGTACAGGAGTGTACTCAGGACACAGGCTCTATAGACCTGGATCTTGGTATATGTTGTCAGCTTCTTACGGAACCATACTCTCTTTGTGAGTCTTGAGAACTTAGCAGAGCTGCCAGCCAAAGGGAAGAGCATGGCAAAAGAGCACAGTTTTCATTTCTATCTCTTTATTTTGTAAAGGTTGTTGCAATAGGTTTTTGTTAACTGGAAAACAGTGTGACAATAAAAAGGTGTGACAATAAAAAGGGGGAGGGCTAATTGAAAAAGGCTCCTCCCACTTTCTGCAGTAAAAACAATGAAATATTTGAGGAGTATGGAAGTTCAGAATTTCTGGGGGACCTTCAAACCACGACAAAATTATCCACCAAATTCCTAGCTACCACAGAAACATTTTTGAGCAAAGAAACCCAATGTTTCCAATTCAAAATAAAATCAAGGTTGGGAGGCTGAGAGTTCATAAGATGCCTGTGGACCACAGGTTATCGATGATCTTACAACTGCAGAGCTGGAAGGGACCCTATAGATAATCCAGTCCAGTCCCTGTCAGGAAGGCACAGCGAGGGGAATCAAACTCCTAACCTCTGTCTCTGCACCCAGATACATAAAGCGCTGAGCTATCCAGAAGTTACCTACAGTGGACCCTCTACTTACGGAATTAATCCGTATTCGAACGGTGGCTGCAGGTCGAAAAGTCTGTAGGTCGAGTCTCCATTGACCTACAATGCATTGAAACCGATTAATCCATAACCGGCTGTTTTTGTCCCATTTTTGTTCCATTTTGGTTTTTTTCTGGTCTGTAGGTCAATTCTCCGGCTGCAAGTCGAACCTAGATTTTGCGGCCAGAGAAGTCTGTAACTCGAAAAGTCTGTAAGTCAAGCCGTCTGTAAGTCGAGGGTCCACTGTATCCTGTTTAAAACATGAACTTCAGCACAAACTTAGCATTTCAGATTATCTGACTCAGCACAACATTCAGTCACATTAAAGCAAGTATGAGGAACTTCAGTGTTTGGGACTGAAGCCAACCCATCTTCCCAAGAATCTGTTACAGAGTTTGGAATTTCTGGTGACATTCCCTTTTGCTATACAATAGAAATACAGAGGAGAATAGCTACGAATTTCCCAGAGTCCACACTTTTCTCATTAACTGGCACTTAAAGTCTCACTCTGAGGCATTTGTAGGAAAAAGTATAAAAAAACATTTCTTTACTTGCAGTTGCTTGAAATTACAGACTTGAATATGCTGCTTTCTTTTTTATGGCACACATTCTTAGCAACCAATCAAACGGATCAACAGCAAACAAACAGACTTTCAACAGACCAAAGAGAGGGAAATGAAACACACAGGAGAGAGCCGTGGTTCTCTTTGGATTCAAAGGCCGGAAGGAACTATTGGTTAGTACTGGATAAATAGACAATCCCTTCAGCCCAGAAAAAGTCCCTTCCAGTCACATAAACTACAGAGAGCATGTGAGGTTAACAAAACTCCAATATAAACTGTCATTTGGTAGTTTCCCAGCTTTTGCATAAGCCCCCCCACCCGCCATTCTAATAGGTTGAAATGGCTTATCAAGGCTTATATGCTGGCAATTCCAGTCTTCAGCTGTGTTGTTATTTTTCTGTCCCACTGTTTTGCCATTGACTCCACCCAAAACAATGGAATGCAGCTCCCCCCCCCCACCTTTCCAAGAGCTTCTGTAGAACTTAATTTGGCCTCAGGCTGAAACAGGTTTCCTGCCTTTGCTAAACATTCTGTCTCCCCCCCCTCCACCTCCTAATCACAGCACTTGATCATTATGAATAAAGGATGAGTGCATGAAAAATACTGACTAATAGTTAGATAAGTAGTCCAAAGTTACCAAATGCAAAACTAGCTTTCATGACTCGTTAGCAAAAGAAATGGCTAGTAGAACACTAGCAATGGTGATGCCAGAGGTTCACCTGTGAAGGTAGGAACTGTCTTTGATCCTGGACACTCTGAGCGGTCGTCCAGCCGCGGGATCATGTGCTCCTCTACTCTACCCACATCCAGTCTTCCTTGAGAAATATCAAGCAAAATGGGGAGCCTTCCATTGCAGACATTTTCAGCTCTGTTAATCTGCCACAGCAAATGCAACAAAGATTAGGAGGTTTTATTTGACATAGCATTCCTGATGTTGGGAAAGTGTGAAGGCAGGAGGAGAAGGGGACGACAGAAGATGAAATGGTGGGACAGTGTCATCAAAGCCAGTAACATGAATTTGACCAAACTCCGGGAGGCAGTGGAAGACAGGAGGGCCTGTCATGCTCTGATCCATGGCATCCCGAAGAGTCGGACATGACTTAATAACTAAACAACAACAACATTTGACATAAGGGTTCGTGGACTGTAGCTTACATCTTCATACACCTAGAATGACTGTTTCGAGTTACGACCAGTTCCGGCCGCAAAATTTTGCTTCGAAGCTGGAGCTTTGAGTTGAAAGCAGAAAAAGGCGGGGAATTTTTTGGGTTTTTCCCCCCATTTTTGATGGGTCTTGTGGGGTTTGTTTGCTTTTTGCTTTGCTTTTTTTGCACTTCTGAAGGGTCTTGCATGGCTTGCTTGCTTTCTGCTTTGCTTTTTTTTTGCATTTCCAATGGGTCTTGCATGGTTTGCTTGCTTTCTGCTTTGCTTTTTTTGCACAGTCCCCAAAGACTCTAACAGAACGGCTGGATAGCTCAGGAGTTGAGGTGCAGAGCCAGAAGGCGGAAGTTCGATTCCCCACTGGGCCTCCCTGACAGGGGCTGGACTCAATGATCCAAAGGGTCTCTTCCTGCTCCGCACTTGAAACAAGCATGTTTCTGCTTGGTGCCAGTTCAGCACCAGGTGAGCCTTCAAGGGGAGGACATTCCACAGTCGGCTCGCTACAGCTGAGAAAGCCCTCCATCCCATTTCCTCGTAATGTTCTCAGAAGTGGGAAGTGGAGGAGAGTTTTCCCAGCAGTTCCAGGTGGCCAAGCAGGTTTATAGAGGCTTTAAGGTGCTACAAGACTGTTTGACTGATTGGCTGGTTTTAACTGCAAATGTGTGACAGAGTTCTTTCCTTGGAAACATGGAGCATGCTAATGGAATAAGAATTGCTAGGGGTAATTCCCCATGTCGGTGGTGTTTTGGTTTCCCGATAACCATATTAGGGAAGGAGGTCTTTCAAATCAAGAGGAAAGGTAGCAATGTAGGTAGGAAAAATCTTTGCAATTGGTTCCACCCACACTGTAAGTAGTCATAAGGAATTATGTGCATGTATACACATGCGCAGGCATAAACACACAAGTCAGCCCCAGTGGGCTGCAGAAAGGTACAGCGACTCTATTGCTGCTACAGGTATGAATACCAAGGGGTTCAACCGGGCATCATTTTAACAAGTTTCCAGGGTGATCTTTGACTGCAAATTCTTACAATGGAGTTCACATCTATAATTACTGAAGTTCCTTCCAAGTCTATAGTTCTAGGATTATGTGAAATAATATCCATGGTTACATTTTAAAACATGTTAGAACAAACTGACACGTCTGTAATTCATAATCATCTTACTTTTTAGCTCTTTTACATTTTAGGCCCTGTAATTTTTATTACTGCAGAATTGTACAATCTCTCCACGTAGCTGAGCAGGATTATACAACAGTAATGGGTATATTTTCCCTCTTTTCAGGATCCTTTTTACAAGATTCAGCAAGGAGAGGAAAATGGGATTTATACATTGTTCCAGGTATTTCCCACCCACCCCCAAATGATTACAACATTCTAACTAAGGTTCCAGAGAAGAGTACAGACCATACAGATTTCAAAGGCATTAGGTTCCAGAGTTTATGCCTACCTGACGGGAGCCTCTCAGAGCTCTACAGAAATGACTCTGTGGACTTAAAAAAAAAAAGTTAGAGCACTGTACCTGTATGAATTTCCCCACCTACTTCAGAGTGTTATACCTGTCTTCCTTATAAGGGAACAAGGAAGTAAAATGAAACCCTGTATTACATTCCATAACCACGCTGCTTCCTTCGAGCACAAGTTACTGTTTATGTATAACTCATGGTATATATTTTTGGCTTTATTTGTGTGAGATTCAGGTGGTAGGTCTGCCACCTAAAGTGGTTTCTTCTAACCTTTGTTAGGTCCGGAGGTCTTAAAAGACACGCAAGAAGAAAATTTGCCTTTCAGAAAGTTCCCGTAACAGATATTATTACCCTGGACTTAATTTTTGATATGTTTTGTGTGTGCAGCCAACACTGAAAGCGAATGGGGATTGAACGGTTCTACCTCTTTTTCCTGTTTCTGCAAAGAAGTGAGAATGTACAAGGTAAGGTGCACAGGTGGTTGGAAAGCATGTATAAAAGTGGTCCATTCTTAATGTTCTTTGCTTTAATGCGCACGCCTCTGAGTCTCTCTCCTTGATGCCTGTGTGCTTGTGCCTGTTTGTAACTCGTGTCTAGCTTGTTTTACTCCTGCGGCTGCATTTGGTATGTGTCTGGAACACAGACTTACCTTTGTAAGTAGGCTGTGTGCGCATTTATGCCACGTGTATAACTGTGATACATTTTTGTAGGTCTTGTTAACTTTTGACTTACCAAACAAATACCCTGGGGGAAAAAAACAGAAGGGTTTTTTTAAAAAAAATGATAACAGCACAAAGTTGCACTGGAATGGATTAGAGAGAACATCCATGAAATCAGGTTTGTGTTGAGTGCAAAGATTATAGTACAGTAAATTCTTGATCTGTACCAGTTAACATCTGGAGAAAAGCTGGCGATCCATTCCGGTTAAAAGTATGCTTTGACAGGATTTTTTTATAAAATCAGGATTGCTATTTTCATTGCACTTTTTGTTCAGTGTTTGGGCTATCCAGAGACATTGGTACAGATGAGTGGAAATGGCTACGCTAAAAGGTTTATCTTCTGGGAAGTCAGAAATTTACCCAGGACATCTCGTACCTGAACTCATTAAGTCAGGCACACTAACCTATTGTACTTTCTTGATTTGCAATGCAGGAAATTGTGTCTCAGGGAGTGCAGTGAACTGCGAGGACTGTTTGCTTTCTGGACCACGTTGTGGCTGGTGTTTTCAGGAGGTAAAGTGAATTTACATTTTAATGTCATGCAAACGCTTGGGCTCTCCGTTCCAATCCAGATTCTGCCCTGAGGAAACTAATCTGGAGACCAGATTTCAGAGCCCAACACATTTTGCACAGGCAGTGCATTTATTTTTGACTTCTAATTTTTTTTAGTTTGAATAGTGTGTTCCCAGCCATCCCTAAGCCATACCTCAAACAAGTTGTTTAAATGTTGCTCTGTTTCAAAAAGTATTTGATACATGGCTTTGTCTTGGAAACTCTATTGCAATACCCATTCTGGTGTGCTTTCGATAACCCATAGCATCCTCACCATGATGAAGTGGGCGGCAGTCCTCAAAAGGATGTTCCAGAGAAAACACTTCAGCCTGCAAACTGCTGGTTTTTAGCATCAAGCATCATTATTGCTATAAATTTATAATAAATGTTATTTATAAATATGAATTAATACATCCATCAACAAGCCAATAAATCTTACCCACGTAGCATCCAGTCTGGCTAATAACAATGACAACCATAGCCCCCCCCCCAAATAATAAACATATAATAAGCAATAACTAAACCACTCTCTCAATCGAAAGTGCGGCACCTGCCTATACAGTATTGCAAACTAAATGCAGCACTTGCCTGTGTTCCAGAAGTCATAAGCCTAAATGTTATTACAACATAAACTTTATTGCACAGATAAACATGTTTTTGACTTGCACCTAAATGACAACAATGTAGTGGAATAAATTAAGCACATTAATAACATTTTAAAATATCTTCCAAAAATTTTGGGGAAAACATTTTAAGAATCTGATGAAATGTAAAGGGTTTTAACAAAAAGAAATTTGTGAGAACAGAAATGCAGAAGTGGATAGAAATCACACACCAGAGACATATGGACTGAAATCAGGTTGGTGCTTAGCATAGTACGTTACAACTCAAGTAAGCCCATTGAATCAGTAGGGGTGATCAGTAGGGGCAACAGAGGTGCATCCTCCATGAATTCCATTGATTCAAATGGACCTACTCTAGTTGCAACTTATTATGCTAAACAATAGAATTTCAGCCACTGTATAGATTGGGTGAGATGATCAGTTAAAGAGACATAGTAGTTATTTAAGGCAGCCATGTGATATAAAAATGACAATCTGGTCCAGAAAAGCATTTTTTACCCTAGTCCAGTTTATGGAGAGAAACTGATTCTGAATCAGATATTTCATGAATTAAAGAGTGCTAACAGGTGTGGGGAGATATAACACCAAGACCTGCATGAAAACCCTTATACTCTACAGCCATCCCAAATCTGGCATCCCTCTGTACTTTGAATCCTCTATAGGCTGGGGATAATGAGAGTTGTAGTCCAACACACTTGGTGGGTGCTGGCTTGCTGGAAGCTGAATCATGGACATATCTTTCAGTTGGAGTCTGGATGTTCCCAAATATGTGTCTTTCATGTTTCATGTGTGGCTCCATCCTTAAAAAGGCTAGGAAATCCTTGCTTAACCCCAAGTGAAACATATCCTATTCCCATCTACTTTAATGAGAGATTGAAAGGCTTAACACCAACTGAGCATTGCTTCTTCTTTTCTTTTGAAGTGGAAGCTTGTGAGAAATATGAATACTGTACAAGATTCTGGGTTCTGTGTGGAATGGTGTGTGCTCAGAACGATAGAAAATTGGTATCATTGATGCTGAGTGACAGTTTCTAAGTAACTGCGCCAGGCACTGTTTTCACAACATATCTAGTAGTCAGAGAAAACAGTCTGTGAAACTGTTTCCTATATTCCAGAGTTTCTAGTAAAGAAATTACTGTCTACAGCGCTGTATGTCACACTGCTTGGATTTAGTGAACCGGTTTCTCTGCCCTGTTAATGGAATTACCGTATTGTCATTCAGAACATTCTTTTTGTGCTGGATGGACTGCTCAGAAGAAATCATAAACTTGCTGGTAAAGCAGAGTAAAAATCTCCATCGGTTTCTTAATCTGTGCATTACAGCCTTTCAAGTGAAGTACCTCAGTTTTATTTTTAAAAAAAACTGGGCAGGATTTTTGAGCTTAAACATATTTATACTATTGTTCAGCACAGTGTCAGTATTACTGTACTTCATGGCAGTTTGGTACATAAATACATGGTATACATTATTTCTAGCCCTTTATCTCTCTATGCATGGTGTTCCAAATTTCATGGTGCAGATAGACTTCTGCTTATTTGCCAGTAACATTTTCTTGCATCACTAGCATGGTCATTCTTGTGCAAGGCCCGTTTTGGCAATGATGGCATTACTTTTTTCTACCCCCACTGATGACGGGAATGATGGTGGCTGTATTCCTCCCCCAGCAATACAATGCCTGGATCTGCAGACAGCCTGAGGGACTACTGCAAGCAATAAAAGGCCCCTCTGCACCTTCTACCTCCCATCTTATGATGCTTATCAGTCTCCCACAGTAAATATTGACAGATTCCCACTAATTGACTATTTTATTTGCATTCACCTATGCAGTACTATAGAGATTAGCTGTGTTAAACAGCCTGCTCAGTCACATACAGAACTATTAAGCACACTGCCAAGAACTGAGAGGAGGATTTTACTTTCTATAAGGAGAAATCCCAATATCCTCAGCCAGCAAGTCTGTCTGTGGCATCCTGGGAATTGCAGATCAAAAAAGAACTTCTCTAAACTTCTCTGCCTGGCCCTTTGTAGATGTGTTGGCCAGTACCCATACTTTCTAACTAGTGTGAAACTGGTGGCTGGGTTGAGGCAATGGAAACAAGGGACAAGATGAGAAGAGTTATAATCTAACACCTGGAGGACACTGGTTTGAAGAAGGGTGGTATGCTTTAGCCTATCCCAAGCCTGTATCTGTTCACTCAGCTATAAATCCAGGGCCCTCCATTGGAATTAGTGGAAGTTACTTCTTGGTAAGCCTGCACAGGATTGTGACCTTAATTATTTTGCAAAGAGCTTCCCAGAATGCCACCTTTTGAAAGGTAATACTGTATATTGCAGTTGGATGTCCTTGCCTCCAACTGGGAACATTCTGTCCTTCCCTTTCATATCTATCTTAAGTAGCAGTTTTGTGAAAAATATTGACTTAATCTCAAGGAAGACATTATGCCACTGTGGCTGATTTCATTTTAAATTAATATGTTTTGTTCAATTTTTTTTTCTCTTTACAAGTACTAAGTCTGGGCATCCCCAAAAATATAGGTTTACACAGCAATGCATCTTTTTCTTGTTGTTCTTGTTTAAGTCAGCAAATGCCGAGTGTTTTGCTAGAGATGATCACAGGTTTCTATCTCCAACCCTTTCACAGTAATAGGTGATTTTAATACATACTGGGTGTGGATGCTCTTTGGGCAGCTAGACTGACAAATAAGAAAAATTATTTAGATGACGATACATCATTTGATGTCAAAAAGACACCCACTACCTAAATATTATTAGTTTGTGTGTGTGTTCCAAATTATATTCTGTTCAATTCTGATGTAGGAGGAACACAAGCATTTTTCTCTTTACCCAAATTCTCACCGGTAATAGCATATGACTATAGTAACCAATAGTGTATCAGATGTCTCACCAGATTCTCTTATATCATCTAATCCATCTGCTCTTTGGACTGAAGTTAACTCAGTGATTTTTGTTTGCTTGTTTCTTTTTTGTAACAAATTATAATTTTCCAAAATGTTTTTAAATTTGATCAAGTCCACCATGCAACAGGCAGCATTTCAAGGTTGTTCTAATATTAAATCAGAAGAGACTTAGATAAATGTTCCTTGTAATCTGATATTACAGTGGGGTCTCTACTTAAGAACTTAATTCATATTGGAAGGTGGTTCTCAAACTGAAAAGTTCTTATGTTGAATCTGCATTTCCCATAGGAATGCATTGAAAACCATTTAATCCGTATCTGCTCTTTTCCGTCCATAGAAACTACAGTGGAACCTCTACTTAAGAACTTAATCCGTTTTGGAATGGTGTTCTTAAGTTGAAACGTTCTTAAGTTGAAGCAAAATTTCCCATAGGAATGGACTGAAAACCAATTAATCCGTTCTGGCTGTTTTTTTGTTATGTAGAGGTGCGTTCGTACATTGAAGCATTAGTTCCCATAGGAACTAATACAAAGCTGGTTAATACGTACTCTACCACTAGGGAGAGAATTTTTTTTTAACCTAAGATGACCTAAGGTTAAAAAAAAGAGCAGGAAAGTTTTTTTTTCCTGTTCTTATCTTGGATTTCTGTTCTCAAGTAGAAGCAAAATTTAGCAAATGGAGCTGTTCTTAAGTTGGATTGTTCTTAAGTAGGGATGTTCTTAAGTAGAGACCCCACTGTATCAGATTGCTTCTCTTCACAGCTTGTTTCTTTGTGGAAATAAGAATGCCAATGAATGAAGGCGTAGCACAATTTAATGAAAAAGAAATAAATTATTTTTGTAAAACCAGACTATCCCTTAGGTAAACTTAAGCTATCTCAAACCAGTACATGGATATAGAAGAGACGTTTCCAATCAGAAGTGTGCATGTCTGGAGAATGAGGTGTACATGATGTACTGTGAAAAGAGAATCATCATTCCCAGATTCCATGTGTAAACCATATTAAATTCAATAAGAGGTAAAAACATTAGAGATTATTTTATTGATTGATTGATTGATTGATTGATTGATT